AGCCAACTACTTTTGCCAAATTATGGGTTTTAAACTAGTTGCTCACATGTATTGTAGTTACTTTTGAGAACAGCCTTTCATAAAACCCTGCTGAGACACAGACTGGAGATAATCATGTTTGGAGAGTTATTATCTAAGAGGAATCTCACTATTTTTCTCTGTCAGAGGTTAACATAATGCACTCCATTTGGAAGTTTACCAAAAATACAAGAATGTAGTTAGCCTAACATTTTAATTTTTTATTCAAGTCAGTAAATATTTCAAAATCATTTAAGGCCCTCATACATCTAACAACCTTTGCATGATTTCAATAAATACTTTTTTTTAAATTCTTTTAACAGGAGTTCATTTGTAAAACAAAAGAATCGATCACAAAGCTTCTTGGATGCATGTTGGCTTTTAACTTTTTGTTCTTACATGTAACTCATTGATATGATGTGTTCTTTCATAACTGATAAACATCATAAACTGAGRCATCCATAGCCACTATTTTTTTATGCGCTGGGGTTATGAAGTGAGAGGTCAGCTGATTATCAATGTTAATTTCATTCATCAAAAAGGAGGCTTAATCATAGGCTGCCCAGCTATTACTTGAACAGATAACAGATAGTTTATTACTTCAAATAATAATAATTACAAGTCTAACCTTCCTTGAGTGAAAGGAAAGAACGATGAACAAGTTTTATGTAGTTTTATTTTATCCGTCCATACTCTTAGCAACATGCGGATTACCTGTGGTACTACGTCAGGATCCCTTGTTTCTTATGACAACAACCCACGAGGCATGGGATCATGACGTAGTACCGCAGGTGATCCTAAAATCCAAAGTAAATCAAGCAAAGAATCAAGTAAACAAAGCATGGAAGAGGTGAGCTGCCTATGGCCTATTTAGAGTAAGTTCCATACAATGAATTACACTGCTGTCTTTGTTCAAGAAAACTGAATGTTCAATTTTAAACTGAAACAGCTTTGTTGTGTTACGGATTACTGCACTCACAAGCAAAAGTTTATGGTAACTCACAAATATAATTTGATATCATTTTGTAACTGAAATTAATGGGATTGTAAATAGTGAGAGAACCTAACACTTTTAAAAGACAACAAAAGTTATTTTTCGTTATGAAGCAAAAACATGCACTAAAAGTCAGGAGCCCATTAGGCTCCTGCTAAGTATAATGCTACCGATATCTTGTTTCTTTTCGAAATTCATCAAAACGCATTAATTGTACACACAGTCGATTGCCATATCGACCATATCGCCATAAATCTCCGGCTTTGAGATTCCCGCCAAATTCGAGATGGCGAAACATGATTGGTCCAAAATAAAACCCAGGATTCAGCTCGCGCAGCCCAACACCGACTGGGATTCGTTATACAAAGAGCGTACTTTCTAAACCTGTTCCAGTTCTTGTGTATTTTACTGATATATACTAGCCATATACTGCCTCATATTGTTTGAAATAAGAGGTGAAAG